GGCCCCCAAGATGTGGATGTATTTGGTCTGGGTATGGTCTGATTGAGGCCAAAGTGGAAATCCTACAAGGAAGCCCTTGTCACTACAGGAGTGGGGGTTTGCCTGGTGACAGTGTCTTGTGGGCAGTTGCCCCTGGTTTATGGAACAAAACTCGGTTCTGCTCCCTCTTCCTCCTCCCCAGGGAAGATAAACTGGGTGAAAATTAGCTCCAGTGGCATCTTCAAAAGAGACCAATCTGTTTTTCCTGCACGTTTCCTCTCCAATTTACCTTTACTGATGTGAGCTTTATCCATAACTTCTGTGGAAAAAATGGAGTGCCTAGGTTAGGGGTTTGGGTAAGAGAGTTGTTTGGAATTAAAATCTCCCATAGCTCAGGTGGCTGAAGCTGGCGTGAACTGACCACACCAGACTGCTAGCGGGGCGTCTTGACCCCTGTCGCAGCTTGGCTACTGAGGCAGTTCTATGGCTTTGAGCACATGGCTTCCCCTCTCATGGTCCCAATCCCTCCATCTGTAAACGATGAATTTGTAGAAGGAGATGAACTCTCTGACTTCTAACATGGTCTACTATGCAGACTCCAAGGACCAAGTCAGGAGACACGCCCTTCTGGGGGAAATGAGGTAAAAGTAGGAGCAGGGAGGTGTGTGAGTGTGTGTGTGTTTATGGTCTGATTGTGTACATTGGCTGAGTCTTCGGGGAGTCCCACCTCCCTGTTCCTCCTTCCTTACCTCCAGCTGCCTGCCTAGTCACTGCTCCTCAGGAGAATAGGAAATTGGGACCCGGGAGAGCCTAGAGAGTCTGGTGTCTATGTGCCCACTGGCCCCAGGCTGCAGCTCCAACAGTCTGGAGGCCAGGCTACTGCCTCTCTTCTAGCCCCCTGGGATGCAAAATCTCTTGAACTTTGGGGGACTTGGAACTTATAGAAATCAGCTAGCTGTGGAGTCCCTCCTGCCTGGGGCTTGGAGCTAAGACAGATTGTAAGCCAAGCTGCCCTGGTGAGACCTCACAAATTTCCACCCATCTTTTCCTACCTGGCCTCATTATACCTGGAAAGGCTCTTCTGGGCCCTGTCAAGTATTGAGCAGGAGCGGCTGGAGCTGATTATGGAAGAGTCAGCTGTTCTCATCCAGTGTGACTCATTCCTGCATGCACCAGAGTCTAAGGTGGAAATCATTACTGTTGACCTCACCCCAGCTTCTGAATGAATGGGACTTCCTGCAACAAGCCCTCTCTGGTGAGGGTGGGGGATTGTGGCAATCAGCAGAGCAGACTTGGTAGAAATCCTCCCCCAGTGTCCCAGAGTTAATAATAATCATCAGCGCCTCTATTGACTGGTTGGTTTGTGAATTTATGCACTGCCTTTTTCCTTAAAAGATTTTTAGGATGGGCAATTAATTAGAGACTAATTAAAAGAGCCCTTTTCTGAGTATTCAGAGACCTTGCTCCTAGGCTCAGTAATCTTGAACATGTCACTTTACTTTGTTGGGCCTCGGTTTTCTCATCTGTAAAATGGGAGTCACATCAGTCCTGCCTGCTATTGGATGTGAGTAGCCAAGATGGTAATGGATGTGAGGCCACATCCCCAGCTATCCCCTTCCACCAGATCTCTCCCTGCCTGCCAAGAGCTCTTTAAGGAGGATATTGGGATAGCTCCATGAAAGCAGTCTCTGAGGGCTGAGAATGGTCTCAGGCTCAACATAAATGTGAGGAGTTATGATGAAGTAGTGCAGAACCACCCTTTGGAGCCCAGTGACATGCCTGCTCCAACAAGGTGCTCCCCACCCCCTGAGGCCATAAGAATATAGAGCAGAAGCAAGTTCTACCTGGCATTCCGGATGTGCTGGTCCTCATACTCTTTCTCCTTCCTTCCTACCTTCCTAGCTGGGGATATGGAAAAATCTAATCAGACACCCAGCCAGCCCAATAAAAATCATATTCACATTAGCCGCAAACAGTTATGGAGTCCTTGCTGCAGGCTTCATCTCTACTCCTTTCAGGAACCCTACAGAGGTGCACTTTCACACTCCTCACTTTGCAAATGACAGTGAAGGTCAAACAGGATGAGTAACTTGCCTGGGATCACAAAACCAGCAGTGGTGAGAGCCACTGAACTATCGTGTTAGATGACAGGCTTTGATTGACAGGTCGCTATAGAACCGCACAAATCTCAGTTCATATTCTAGCCTTCCAATCCCCACCCTGCCTATAGGCAAGTCATTTATCCTGCTGAAGCCTGAATTTCCTCCTCTACTGAGAGGAAACTTGGCCATAAGAGTGAGAAACTTTATATGGGGAGTTTATGGCTCAATGCCTGGAACACAG